AAAAAAAAAAAAAAAAAAGTAGAATTTGGGTTTGGGGTCTTTGGATTTTTTAGATTGTTTATGTTTAGTTTGCTTGAATCACTTTGTTCACTATCTTCATCCCTCTCTCAACTTGCTAGTATAGACTCAGTTTAATTGTGCCTAAGAGATCCTCTGAACAGGATATGGGAAGGCATACTAGTCATGCTAACAGGATCTGTATTGGGTTAATAAAGGGCACCGCCAGGGAGAATAAGCCGTTTTGAGGTCCTTTAATCCTGCTTTTATATTCTGAGATCTGGTTTTGTTTAAATCAGAGGCAGTTTCAGGAAAAATGAGTCAAGGCCACTTACAATGATCCTGGAAATCCGTCACCTCTCTGGCTGCATAGTCTTCCTGGCAGAGTGAGTCCTGCTCTGCAGGCACCATACACGTGTGAGCGTATTCATCCATCTTATTTCATTGTTGAGCTGCCCATGCAATTTAAGGCAGAAAGTTTGTCATTTTGATCAGGTTTGATGAGTTGACTAAGTTCCTTTGTTCTGTATCATAGAAAAGTACCTTATGATTCCTCAAATACATAAGCACTAAAGACTAAAATCTATAAGTGATAAGAGGGCATGCATCAAAGCAAAAATCATTTCCCACACAAATAATTTCCCTTTCTGAGGGAAACGAATAGGAGAGTTGATGTTTCTAAGTGTTTGCCTCTTAGGACAGCTTAATCAGTGAAAATATGGAAGTCCATTCCTTTTTTCTCTTCACTTACAAAAGTGCAGCTAATAGTATAGTGAACTCTGTGTCCTCCAAAGAGGGGAAAGGACAGAATTGAGTTGTTTCTGGAGCCCACATTTATACGTGCCACGTACCACCAAAGACAACATAGCAAGAATCCCCCACGTATATCCTAGTTTCACGATAGGCATGCTGCTTTATTTTCGTGTTCTTTAAAGTTTTAAAAGATCAGCCTTTATGAGAAACAGATTTGGAAACTCTCAAGAAATCACTGTGTGCTATGGATGAGCTACCTCAAATTTGCCTCTTTGCAGCTGCAGAACAGCACAGCAATATGCAAATGTGGTGTTTATTTGTCTGTGTCTAATATGGAAAATATGACATTTGTCTGTCTGCATTCATGTTCAACTCCAGAAATGCTTAACATTCTTCGGTTATTTGTTGACATCAAATTAAGGCTCTGGACATGCAAAAACATTTGTTTGAAGTTGCCGTCTCTTAAATGTGAGCCTTGGTACTTTTTAAGGTCACAGACTGAGTTTGAAAGTTGGTTCTGAGTATGTAGACTAGAGAACTTATTTGATAAATCAACCAAATGTACCTTTTTCTTGGGCTACAGAAGCCCTTGGGACAGGCAGAATTGTTTTTCATTTCTACGAGAACATGGGGCTTGTAAGGACATTATATCACATGGGACTTTAAAGGAGTTACCTTAAAATAATTATGCTCTGAACTTCAGACATGCTTTTGTACTATTTATATGATTTTCCAAACTCAGGGCTGACTTAATTAAGTTAACCTACTTAGAGATTTTAATTATTGTATAACTCCTTCTTATTGAGGTAATAGTACATAAAATATTTACTTGATTCTAATATTATCTGCCTTTTTCATATCATACAAAGTACAAGTCGATTTCAAAAGACTTACAAGTGAGAACTAAAATTTACTTCTGTACTAGTAAGGTTTTTTAATATTCAAAGGCCTTGTTATGTGCTACAAACACATAATGTTTCAACTATAATGAATGAGTCTCTAAATTCATAACATTTCAATTGTAAAGCAATAAAGCATATGCACTACAATTTGGAGTTTCTTTTCCTAGACACTTAAAACCTAGACATGGATTGTGTGGTCTTTCGTGGAAAAATAAGAATAACCAGCATATGCCTTGTGATTTTCAGAAATGCATCTGTGAATGCAGTGTTACCCCCCAAGATAAATTGGATATTTAGAAACAATGAAGTTTAAAGACTTCTTAAATAATTCTTGGAGGCAGCATTCCCTAAAAGGAGTGATTTTCATAATGTATAGCTCTTCACAAACAGAGGCAGAATTTTGAAGTTATTCTCATTTCATCTGTTTTTCTTTTACCCTGTATAATAATTTTCATAAGTAGAAGCTGACATTTCCAAAATAAAAGTCTCGTCTTCGTCTTCTTTCTGTTTGTTTGTTGTACTACAGCTGGGGAAAATTCTGCGAAGCCCTTTCATGAAGTTTGTGGCACATGCTGCTTCTTTCATCATCTTCCTGGGCCTGCTCGTGTTCAATGCCTCAGACAGGTTCGAAGGCATCACCACGCTGCCAAACATCACTGTTATTGACTATCCCAAGCAGATCTTCAGGGTGAAAACCACCCAGTTCACTTGGACTGAGATGCTAATTATGGTCTGGGTTCTTGGTAAGCTTTCTATGTTAAGTATTTTAATTTCTACCAAACATTGTGTCTATATAACAATTGCCTTTTTTTTTTTTAAATGTTTGTTTATTTTTGAGAGAGAGAGAGAGTACAAGCAGGGGAGGGGCAGGGGCAGGGAGACACAGAATCTGAAGCAGGCTGCAGGCTCTGAGCTGTCAGCACAGAGCCCGACACGGGGCTCAAACTCACAAACTATGAGATCATGACCTGAGCTGAAGTCGGGAGCTTAACCAACTGAGCCACCCAGGTGCCCCGATTGCCTTTTTTATTTAAAATGTTATTGTGCATTATGTGGTAACAACATTCTCATTGTAAGATAAGCAGTAGAACAAAATAATTGAATAATTTGAATACTAAAAGTTATCTCTTACCACTAAATAAAAATTTTTATGACTAACATGAACCCAATATAAATATATCACATTTTTAACTTCAGTTATTGAATAAATGTAAATTTTAAAAATCTGACCTACTGTGATGATCAAATATTTAATTGAAATACTTGTGAGATAATCTAGTAGCCATTAGCTGATGAATAAAAATTTTTTTGCAAAAAAAAAATTTTTTTTGGCTTTCATTTCAGAGGTCTTTTTTAGGAGAGTTTCCATTTTCAGAATGCTGGTTACCTCACCTCACAAAAGTTCTTTTTAAAAAATTTTTATTAGTAAAGTGTAGTTGGCATACACTGTTGTATTAGTTTCATATGTACAACATAGTGAATTAACAAGTCTACATATTACTCTATGCTCAGCGCAATAAACGTAGTCACCATACAATGTTATTACAGTATATCCCCTGTGCTGTATTTTTCATCTCCATGGCTTATTTATCTTATAACTAAAAATTTGTGCCTCTTAATGCTCTTTATTTCTTCTATCCCTTCACTTACTTCCCCTCTGGCAGCCACCACTTTGTTCTCTGTATTCAAGAGCCTTTTCATTGTTGCTGTTCATTTGATTTTTAGATTCCACATGTAAGTGAAATCATATGGTATTTCTCTTTCTCTGTCTCACTTACTTCACTTAGTGTACACTTTCTAAGTCTATGTTGTTACAAATCCAACATCTCATTCGTTTTTATGGCCGAGTAATATTCTTGTGTGTGTGTGTGTGTGTGTGTGTGTGTGTGTGCGTGCGCGCGCACCATTTCTGATGCTATGTGTAGAATTATGTTTCTCCGAATTCTAATTCTTATTTACTTGAACATTTTTCCTCCACTTAACTTTGCCCAGGGCCTCAGGGTGCCTGATATGGTACTTGATATATGGAGCTTTTTATAGGTGGGGACTGATAGTGGACAAAATAACAGCTTCTCTAAGCTAGTCTAAGCTATAAAATGTAACCTGTACCTTCCGTGTGTGACAGGAATGATGTGGTCTGAGTGTAAGGAGCTCTGGCTGGAAGGACCTAGAGAATATATTTTGCAGTTGTGGAATGTGCTGGACTTTGGGATGCTTTCCATCTTCATTGCTGCTTTCACAGCCAGATTCCTAGCTTTCCTTCAGGCAACAAAAGCACAACAGTATGTGGACAGTTATGTCCAAGAGAGTGACCTCAGTGAAGTTACACTTCCACCAGAGATACAGTATTTCACTTATGGTAAGTTATTAACTGAAGGGTCCTCTTATGCATCAGGAAGGGTACTGGAACCACATTTTGGAAGGAAATGTCAATAAGAGTATGTTTAATGTGAGATGTGTGTTAAATGTGTATGAACAGAGGAGAAAGCATGAGCTTTAGAACTATACAAAACTGGATTCATATCAAGGCTATGGAGCTCCCTTGCTGTGTATAACTTTGTTCAAGGTAACTTACTTCTCTGTGCCTCAGTTTTCAAACCTATAAAATGAAGGTGTTGCGAAGTGAGAGAAAATTATCTTCAAGCCTAACAACATAAGTACTCTTACATATTCTTAGGATATGAAACTGTCTTCATTAGGGGAAAAAATAGATTGATAAACTGCTTGAGGTGGAAGATGAGTACCTGAGTGCATGGTTTGGAGTTTGGAGGAGATAAAATAACAAAAGGCCCTAAACTGCTGTACAGGTGGAGTGAAGAAAATTTGGCAGAGGCGGGAAGTAGGAGCTAAAGTGGCATGAGAATGTAAGTTCTGGGGAACAGGCAGAAATACTGGGGGGGACACCCTGCCCCTCAACACAATATGGAAGGGAATTCATGCCTAACTTCTGTGTATCACGAAGAGCAGGGAGGTCCCAGCTGATATTCAGGGTGCAAGGATACTGATGCCTTCCTTGCCCAGCACAAACCGATGGTAAGCAATGTTAGCCTTCCCTCCATTGAGGCCGGGCTGGAAAGGTGTGATTAGCAAATTTCCATGTAGTTGCACAATCTTAAATCTGAAAAGAACCTTAGAAATGTATTGCCTAGGGGCACCTGGGTCGCTCAGTCAGTTGAGCATCTGACTTCAGCTCAGGTCATGATCTCACAGTTTGTGAGTTCAAGCTCCACATTAGGCTTGCCACAATCAGCCTATCAGCACAGAGCCTGCTTCAGATCCTCTGTTGCCCTCTATCTGCCCCTCTCCTGCTTGTGCTCTCCCCCAAAATAAGTAAATATTAAAAAAAAATGTATTGCCTAACACTTATTTTAATGATAAGGAAACTCAGGCACAGAGTTTAAGTGAGTTCTGATTGTAAGAATCACTTTTTATAAGTGTTATTAAGGCTTATATTGTGATAAGTACTAGTGGCATGTTAACATAACTGAAGAAGGCTGGGCGCCTGCTCCAAAATGTAAGATGGATGTTTCACACATTGTGAAATTTAAACACATTGTCTTGTTGTCAACAAGCAAAGATTTTTTAATTCCAAGGAGACCAGATCAAATGAGCAAATGATTACCATTTATAATCAAAGAATTAGCTTAAATTGTATCTTGTGTAATATATATCTTGACTATTTCAATAACCTCTTTATTTAGGTTGATTCATGTGTATCTAATGACTATAATCTGGAGGGAAATTAGTGAATTCAGGATTTGCTCCTTAATATGTGTATGATTTTGATCAAAGATTTAGCCTTAAGTCTTGGTTTCTGGATCTCTAAAAAAACGATAATGATAACATCAAATCCGTAGAGTCACTGGAAAGCACAGTGTCTAGTACACATTAAACATTCAATAAACATTAATTTTTGTTGTTGGAAATATCTACAATGTATCCATTCTTCTGGGAGTAACTCTGCACAAAATTAGCGACATATTATTTCATTGAACTTCCAGGGAAATGAGTCTGCTGTGAACCTACTAAACGACCTTGAAAGTGGTGGGATCTTCATTTAGAATCTATATCCAAAATTTTTGCACCTCAATAGCATCTTACATTTTACAGGAACAAGTAATATTGCTCAGATATCACACTGACAGCACCACTGTGATTCAGTGATATTCTCACTTGTTGTAATACAACATTTTATTTGCATAAACTGTTAGATGAACTAATTTCTCCATGAAATATGGAAAATAAGTTTTGTGCCAACTGAGCCTGTAGGGTGACAAAATAGCTGGTCCATATATGAGAAGACAGATTAGTCAAGTCCGTTGTTTTGTCATTCTGGACACAGTCTGTGTCTAATGAAGGGTTTTAACCTCTTTCTTTATCTTTTGCACTTGACTCTGTTTCTACTCAATGTGGAGCAGGTTTATTAGATTAAAAGACTCCATGTGGGTGTAGAATTCATATGCTTCTGGTTTAAACATAAAAATAATGCCCAGACAGTTAATTAAATCTAGAGTAGTTTCAACTGAGATAAAAACCACCTTCCTACAAAATAGATCCTATTTAAGGTATTTATTTTGTAGATTGCAATGAAACAAAGTCCCATTTCTGATATCTCTCTCTCTCTCTTTTTCTAGCCAGAGATAAATGGCTCCCTTCTGACCCTCAGATCATATCTGAAGGCCTCTACGCCATTGCTGTTGTGCTCAGTTTCTCTCGGATCGCATATATCCTCCCTGCAAATGAGAGCTTTGGCCCTTTACAGATCTCTCTTGGAAGGACTGTGAAGGATATATTCAAGTTCATGGTCCTCTTTATTATGGTGTTTCTTGCCTTTATGATTGGCATGTTCATACTTTATTCTTACTACCTTGGGGCTAAAGTAAATGCTGCTTTTACCACGTAAGTAAAACATCTTCGAAAAAAGGATGTTTTCCTTTTTTTGATGAGGAAAATTTCTAACAAATCCAGATGAATCAAACACACCACAAATTCAATAATCATAATAAAGATGTTTTTAAGAGCAAAACTATCCATTGAAAAGCAGTGCTTATGCATGATTATATTGCCCTAAAGGCTCATTTCTTTGAGTTTAGTAAGGGACCACAGAACAGAATCAAAATTTGGAAAAATCCTAGATGAAGCTGACTATTTTAAGAGAATTGGACAGCAGATTTTTAATACTGGACATCTATTACATTATGTATGACATTAAATTTAGTTTCAGTAATTTGTAGTCATTACTATTCAAAAAAGAAAGCACTGGCCTTTATTTTAACGTATCATTAATCAGTACAAAGGAGTTGAGTAAGAAGAAATTACAGCTAAATGTTGTATAACTCACTATAACACTAGTACCACTTCCTTCCTGTGGTCACACTTGTTTCTACATCGGAGACTCACCTTGCCTGTGAAGTCTTCCTTGATTAGACTTCCTTAGTCATTGTCCCTTTAAGTTCCCTCAGCAGAGAGACATCCAGTTGTGAGATCCCCTAACCCTGCATGTGGGTCCTCCCTTTGTACTGTAGTCCTTCAAGGTAGGGAGATCATTAGCCCTCCCTGTCTCCCTTTGTATCCTGTAATGCCACAGCTAGAAAGAATCTAGACCTTCAATAAGTTCCCTGTAGACTAAAATAGAACATCAAGCCCTTCCAGACATCTAAATTGTTTGGAAATGATTTTTTCACATAGTTAATACAGAGCAAGTCTTGGGGGTAGAAGAGAACGGAAACTCACTTTATTGTAATGAAAAAAAAATTCTGTTTGAACCCAGTAGGGGAGGGATGGAGATATCCTACACATAGTGCCACCCCTGTGAGCCTTTAAGAACTCATTTCTACAACACATTGTCTTCACTGTTTTGTGTGAACACATGGCAACTTGATATAGTGGAAGGATTCTAGGCTAGCAATCAGGCAGACCTGGATATGGATGCATTATCTCTGCTATTTTCTAGCTGCGGCCTTTGGTTAAGTTACTCAGCACTCCTCTGCGTTAGTTCCCTTATTTTTAAAATAAACACAATAAGGTTTGAACCGGGTTATTGCGAGGATTATGTAAGGTCATTTATTTGAAGCCTCTTGCCCAAGGTAAGAGCTCAGGCACTGCCAGTGTCCTCTCCTGTTTTACTGTCTGCCTTCTCCCACACATACGTATTCACAGGAATCGATATTCTTGAAGTTAGAGGAGAGAAGCTTTGCAAAAAGAGCAAGAGGAAGGAGTCAGAATTTGGGGACACTGTTAAAGTAATGGTGGGAACAAAGAGGTTATCGTTTTTCTCAGTCTCCTGCTACCATCTATGCCATAAAATCACACAATGAACTGTTTTGTAATAGACACCAACTATATAGAAATAGGAATCTTTCTATTCAGCCTCATAAGGGTGTGGCACAATTTCTAGAACATGATAGGTGTTCCATCAATATTTGTTGAATGATGGCATGAGTAAATAAACTAGTGCTAAAACCTATAAATCTATGGAATTGTTGTTTAGAATCTGTTACAACAAATCAAAACCAGCACTGTTTCCATAAATCTTTTTTTGGAAAAAGGACTTACTTTTGAACCTTCCTTTGTAATGGAATTCTACATGTGTAATTGTTTAAGGATTATTTTTGTGGTTCATGTATCAGTAAATACAACTTGGTTATATGCCAAAAGCAGCCAAATTCGGTTGGCAAAATTCATTTAAAGTATAAAAGTAGGTGATGAGTCAGGTGAGGGCCTAAGTGTTACTTGCTGTTATGGAAGAATCAGGGAGTAGATTATATAAATGAAAAGAACAGGAATCTTGCAATCTGTTCCCTCCTATTCATTTCCAGTTAAATGTAACTTTTAGGTAATATATTCTTGTGGCAAAAAAATTCGTAGAGTGGTATCTACAGTGAAAATCGTGTCCCCTTCTTTACCCTTGGGCCCCAATCTCTCATATCTCCTTAGTTCACAGAGGCAATGGTTTCTTTTGGATACTTTCAGAGATATTTTATGTATAAACAAGAATATAAGTATTTGTAAACTCCTCCTTTTTAGTCAAATTGTAGACTATTTCATACTTGCTGTATCTTATTTTTCAGTACTTCTTAGATACCATTTTATATAAACACATGAAGATAGATGTGTCTCATTTTCCCAGTGGCTACATAGGAATCCATTATATAGATGGAATTATTTACCAACTCCCCTACTGATAGATATTTAGGTTGTTTTCATTCTTCCCTACTACTACAGTGCAGGGAATGTGTTTGTACATATTTTTTTTGAAGTGAGTATATCATCTTAATCCTGACCTTGTTCTACTACAGAAAACCTGATTTAAAGGTCTAAATGACCTATAAAATCAAACCCCAAATTTCCATCCTTTAGGAGAAAGGAATGGGTATTGTGGCATGACTTTACCTTTCCCCTGCTGAGTTCAGGGAATTTTCACTTGAAGATAATTTACAGAAAAGGTAGGCATTGGCAGCATCTAATCATAAACCCCTGAAGGAACAATTTCTGTTAAATACTATAATAAAATAATTATACTCAGAGTTTGTTGTGATGATGTTTAATGATGGCATTTTACATCTTTACAGTATTCAAACCCTAACTTGTTTTTCTTTTGATTTTAATACTGAAAACTGTTAATTTATTTACTGTGTACCTTATTCTTTCAACAGTGTAGAAGAAAGTTTCAAGACACTGTTTTGGTCAATATTTGGGTTGTCTGAAGTCACTTCTGTTGTGCTCAAATACGATCACAAATTCATAGAGAATATTGGCTACGTTCTGTATGGAATATACAATGTAACTATGGTGGTCGTTTTACTCAACATGTTAATTGCTATGATTAATAGCTCATATCAAGAAATTGAGGTAAACCTGCTTTCTATCCATGGTATCTATTCTTGCCATCTCACTCTAATAATATCCTCCATCTGTTTTTGTGCCCTTTGGTGGATGTCCAGTTCATGTCAATAAAGAGGCTTATACCTAAGCAGAAGGAGCCTGGACATTTCCCTGTGTTTCCCTCCTGGATAGATAGTCTCACAGGCTCTAGTGTCTTCTAGGAGCACAGCAGGGGTCCCCATGAATTTCCATCATGCTGCCTCCTCTTAGAGTATATTTCAGAAGTTTTGAAATTAATGGCTAGAAGAAGTACTGATTATAGGGAAATTATTCTTTCCTAGGTTAGCTGGCCAACCATCTGAAAGATCCTAGTAGAGGAATTACTAGATGTCTGGTAAACATCAGTGATGTCCTGTATCCAGCCAGAGTTTTTAGTATTCTAGAAGTCATTTTACTTCATGTTTTGGATTGCTCTTGCTTTGGTGCCTTCCTTCATCATTGTATGTATGTTTTCCTACGTCCTTCCGGTTCGTATTCAGTATCTCTTTAGTATTTTGCTATTTGTTAAACCTCCGAGTCTCTGTGTGTGTTTTAGAAAACACATAGATTCTCAAAGCAGAAGTTAGGTCCCCCAGAAATGAAAACTGTGGCACTCTGAATAACTGCTTGAGTGTGGTAATGGCAGGGTGAAATGAACAAGCCAACTTCTTCCACCTTTGAACTTCCTTCTCTTCATTTTTCTCTCCATCACTCTGGGCTGTTGCTGAGGATAAAAGGAGATACAAGACAAGAATAGTCCACCCAGGGCCTTATGTGACATTTGAGGACAGATGGCAGACACGACATCCAAAGTGCAATTTGTCTGAGTGCTGTTCTTTTCCCTTTGCTCTAAAGTATAATATGGTGTATATATAGCCTGCCTTGGATGGGTCTAGATGAGGAGGGAGGGAGGGTGGGTAAAGACTGATGAAGTACCATTGATTATGAGGAATTGGCAGAGGTGGGGAAGAAGGGAGGAGTTAATGTTTTCATCCTTCCTTGACCCTGAATTTTTCTTGCATTTTTGCTTTGTTTTTGGCTGGGGGGTGGGACACTCTGGTTAAATTTCAGGTGTTACAGGCATATGGAAGAGAAAAATTAAAAAGATGAGTATCATGAAAACAATACTAAGAATATTATATAGGCCAATAGAAGTTATATGCAGATAAATGTATATAAGTGACTTACCTATTTCAAAAGCATAATTTAGGTTCATTGTATGATCCTACTGGAATCAATTACTAGAATATTTAGTTTTTAAAATGAGACATTGTTTCTTTTCTATTTTTGTGATACAGGATGACAGTGACGTAGAATGGAAGTTTGCTCGTTCAAAACTTTGGTTATCTTATTTTGATGATGGAAAAACATTACCCCCACCCTTCAGTCTAGTTCCTAGTCCAAAGTCATTTGTTTATTTCGTCATGAGGATCATTAACTTCTCCAAATGCAGAAGGAGCCGGCTACAGAAGGATATAGAAATGGGAATGGGTAACTCCAAGTCCAGGGTACGTATCAAAAACTTACCAAGACATTGCAATGAATGTTTTGTCTTTCTCCTTGTCTTTTGATGTTTGTTCGGTAATTTTTATGTATGAACTTAGAAGATGTTGAAAGTTACTATCCATTCCATAGTCTTTCATAGACTAACACTTAATATCTTCACAATGTTTCAAGAAGTCACTTAGTCTATGTGTTACTTCTGGTCAGAATTTCATGCAAAGTGCCAGATTAAAAACAAACAAAAACACTTTTTTAACTTGTTAAAAGTAAACAGGAAAGTTATTGTTAGAAAACACTTTGTATTTTTGTGTTCCATCCTTCTCAATTGTTATTTTGAAGTTAAAGAATTTTAACTTCACATTTTCCTCTTGGCTGCATATATAGTTTACCACCACCATGTTCTTCTTATTTGTAGAAACTCTTTATCGAGCTAAGTAACCTTTTTCTTTAATATCATAAAATCAACACAGGCCTAAGAGCATCCTCAAATATTCCATTTGATATTTCATAAATACCATTTTTATAAATAATCAAGAATGGTTTGTCCCAAAGTTTTCCTGGGTAAGTCATACTTTGATTTTAGTTTGAGTCATACTTTGATTTTAACAAAGATGAGTTTTATGACAATACTTCATTATCATGAATTTAATTTGCAGAGATAGAATTGGTATAGGACACAGGAGGAGATGAGCAGACCTCAGATAACAAGGGAGCAAGACATAACAGGAATAAATGTGTGGAGTTGCTTATACTAGTAACTAATTTTTGCCTAAAGTTGTGAAAATGATCTGTTCTTGTCATACCTTGGGAGCCCACAAGATAGCAATGTTACTCCATAAAGTACAGACCTTTCTGAGCAGAGGTGGATAAGTTTTGTCAGTTGAAGTTGAGAAAAAAGACTAGATTATTGCAATTTAATTTCTTTCTTTAAAAAACTGTGTATTTCCAAGATTTGTAGTACCCTGGCATCTTATTCCTTAGGAAGGTGGCCTTTTAAACCTTTTTAAATTTGACTTGGACATGGGCTCTTAAGGCTATTATGTTCCAAGGCATTGATTTGGCTGTGTCATCCTATGATTTCAAATAGTACCTCATATGTACACAGCGAGAAGAAGTACAATGTAAATAATAGAGCCTCCATGTCAGACCAGGATTTGTATTCTGGTGCTTATGGCTTATTTTCAAGTAACATGGATAAGTCATTTCATCACTCTGAGCCTTAGTTGTCTCATCTGAAAGAGAGAAAACTTGGTAGGATTAATGTAAGGATGATATGAGATGTACAAAGTTCCAGCCTCAACAAATATCAGTGCCCTTCCTCATTCACAGTTTACAAAGTGCTTTGCTGTACATTTGAACCTCATGCAACACTGTGAGGTAGGTATTATTATTATTCCCATTTTATAGATAAGACAACTGAAACCATTAAAGTAGCGTACTTACACAAGGTCAGGGGAGCTAGCTGGCCTGTGTGGAGTAGGTGTGAAATCCAAGTTTTCCAGCATCAGATGCCTTGCTCTTTCTACTGCACATGGCTGCCTTATACCCAGCACCTACTGCTATGGCTTGGTTACTGGCCCATTTCCTCCCCATGGGCTGCTCCTTCAGAGACAGGGTGGCTAGTCTCTTAAATGGGCCAGGCTCTAATTGCCATCCTGGGCAACTCCCACCACTACTGAAATTGACTTTGTTTTGAAGGTGCTTTGTTTCTCTGGGGATTTATTAACTGAAGCTTTATTATTCAAAACCAGAAGCCTCTGGAGAGCATGGGAACTCACAGCTCTTGCACTCACACCTTAAAGTTTTCTTTCTGTAGGCAACTGATTTCACGGACTCCATTCTTAAGAGTATCATAATGAAGGGGAGAAATACTGTCAGGGGAAGAAGAGCACATTCAGATGTCTGTCTTGTGGCTACCTATACCTCTGTAAAGGAAATGCAGCTTGCTCAAATGCATGTGAGGGGAGCAGAAGTGCTCTATTTATGGTGTCCTCTTCTGCCTGTATTACACCATTGGCAGGAAGGACAGCTTTTTTTCAGAGAGGTGGCTGGAAATAGAAAAAAAGTTGAGCACTGATCTCTCAGAAGCCATGAGCCATGGCTTCCCAATCTCCCCATATCTAGTTAAAAACTGCCATTTTAATTTTATTTTTTAAATTGTGCATGGAGATGTTTAAATCTCTTTAATATTATTTGTATTATAAATATTAATAAATACTCTCTGCATACTGAATTTGGTAAAAATTTGGAGAAATTATATGTCTCTGTTTTTCTCTTTTTAGAAGAGAGGAAGGAGCCTCAAGAATCTTACGCGCTAACCTGTAAAACTAACCTCAGTCAACAATCAGATACTGACCTCTAGTGGCAAATAGAAGAATTAATTTTATTAGCTATGGTTTTCTGTTGGCAAGATTGTGCCACTTCCTCTTAGCATCCCACACATAGGATCCTGAGTAATGATCATAGAAGTCAGGTGGTGGGGTGAATACATATTTTCGCATAGGTGGTCCTGCCTTTGAATCATACTGTATTGGTAGCAGCTTGCCCAAAAGTAAGAGGCAGGCCCTGCTCACATACATAAAAAGTAGCTAGTAACAGTGTGCTTCTCTTACTGTCTCTTTCTACCCACTCTAAAGTTAAACTCTAAAGAGGGAGCAAGAAAAAAAATTTCTTTAAGCCCAATTATCTTGAAAGTTATGAATCTCGCTCAGTATAAGGCCAAGATACCTAGAAATACATGTTATTTTGGCTCATATTTCAGGGTTACAAAATACCAAATGATACCATTTGAACTTGTAGTGTGTTCCTGTCCAAGTGTAGGAGAGGAATACAGGCTCAGGAGCAGACAGTTCCTTCTATGCATCCTTACCTTCTAGATGCTGTGAATACATTTTGATTAAGCACACAAGTCCTCAGGGACAATTACATTTAGTATGAGCCAACTTTTAAAAATGTTTTCAGTTAAGCAGTTCTGTTGCAGTGCACATTATAAACATTTTGATAAATGTGAGTCATGTTGTTGCATTCATTCTTACCTTTGAAAATCTATTAAATCACTGATAAAACTCCACTTCCACAAAGTTTTCCTTGGAAATGTTGACTCCAGAAATGTTATCAATGAGAATATAGTAGATTATATTTTTGACTTACAAATGAATGTATTCTAATTTACTAGGTTAATTGTATTTTTTCCTAGTTAAACCTCTTCACTCAGTCTAACTCAAGAGTTTTTGAATCACACAGTTTTAACAGCATTCTCAACCAGCCAACACGTTATCAGGTAAGCATTCAGTAGACATATCTTTTTATCCCTATGTAATTCCGTGTGTGTGTGTGTGTGTGGTGAGTAGAATAATATTCTTTGGATATACTATGAGGATAGAACAGAACAGGGAAAAAATAGTATGTTAGTAGGAGGGGACTTTAGAAATCAGAGTTCCACATCCTTCATTTTTTTGGTTGAGGAAGAGTTCCTTTGTGATATTAAAAGCAAAGTGTTGCCACACCTTCCAAAGAACATCCTCAAATACCTTGAGCTGGAGAAGCAGTGGGAGATATGGTATATTAGGAAGATTATGCTTTCACAGTATGGAAACCTGATACATTTCTCTAGGTAATCCATTTTTCCAATGGATTCTTAGGCTATACTGTTCCATTAGTGCTACTTTAAAATATCTTTTGCATTTTGACATTAGATGTGACATTTGAACACTATTTTCCAACTTAGATGAGGTTGTAGCTTTTCTTTTCCATCTGGTTGATCATTTTGACTATCAAATCTGTAGATTTCTGATGAAATCTAGAGATCACAAGATCACAAGAATGAAGATCCAGGAATTTATAATGTATGGTTATGTCACTTAATGGATACAGTGCTCTTTGTACACTCGTCTTGGAAGCAGCAAATCCTGCAAATTGCTTGGCACACTGATTGTCAAAGTCTTACTTTTTAATGGCTACATTATATTCCATTTATATGGTTATATTTACATTTAATATATCAGTCTTCTATCGATAGAAATAGAGGATATTACCAATATTTAGCTATTATAAGCAACACTGCAGTAAGTAACCTCATATATATGACATTTGAAACATGCACAACCATATAGAATTGTCTGGTTAAAGTGTATATAGGCATTTTAATAGTTTAGCTATTATCAAACTGATTTTGATGGAACTTGTACCAATTTACAGTCTTAACGATAAATGTGTGAAAGAGCCCATTTCCTCCTTCATGCACTAACAGCGTGTTACCAAAGGTTTTTTATCTTTGTCAAATAGATGGGTGAATATGGTATCACAGTGTAGTCTTCCTTGGCATTCTTTGTAATGAATGAACTTGACCATCTTTTTATATTTAGTATTCCACGTTTACTTTTCTTGATGGGTTTTTTGTTATAAAGAGGAATTCATTTATGAAATATTTGAAGAATTAAGAATTCTTTTAAAATTAGTGCTTTGCCTGTGGTACAAGTTGAGAATTTTTTTCTGTTTGTTGTATATATTTTCAATATTTTCACCCAACTTTATGATTTTTGTATCATCAACTCTACAAACTTTCTATCGCTTTAGATTTTGTGTTTAGGAAGATCTTCCCCCACGTAAGAATACTTGAGAAATTTTTTACACATATTTTCTTTAGTACTTTTATGGTTTTACTTTTCAGATGAAAATATATGATCCATATAGAATATATTTTGATGCAATGTGTGGGGTGGAGATCCAAATTTATTCGTTTTCCAGATGATTATATAGTTGGATGTGTTGAATAAATATCTTTTTATTGACTTGAAATGTCACCTTTATCACTTACTAAATTTCTTTATCTCTTACTAAATTTCTTTATCTACTTAGATTTGTTTCTAGGATTTCCATATGTTGTAGAACCACATTGTTTTAATTATTATAGTTTATAACAAAAGTTAAATAAAATATACAGACACAGACACACACATATATATGTCCTTACTTCAGGACTCTTACTTTACATAATATCCTGGCTATTCTTCTTGTTTCTATTTCTGTTTGAACTTTAGAGTCAGCTTGTGTAGGCAGTAAAATATTCTGTTCTTTTTGTGATTGTATTAAGTAAAATTGAGTTCTATATAATGTCTGGCTTCCTTTTCAACAACATGATATACCTTTCCAACTGTTCAGATCTTCATTTGTGTATTCAGTATCATTATAAAGTCATCCTCCTGTTGTTTGTATTGATTAGGATATTAAGTTTGGTGCAAACCTCACAAAACCACCAAATACCAACCACTATGTAAAGTATATATATAGAAATTTATTCCTCTCACCTATTCAAGAAGTCAAGAGGTGGTCATCCCAGGACTGGTATGCTACCTACCAATGTTCAGGACCAAGGCTTTTATAGCATTTAATTGTGTCATGACTGGCTTTCAGTCTAACATGCTTCATGGTCCAAGAAAGTTATTGGAAATCTGGCTATTATTTATGCATTCCAAAATACATTTAGAAGGTGATAGGAAAGAAAGATATGCCTCTTTCCTATAAGGAACTTATTTAAAGTTGCACAGTTTATCTGCAGGGGAGGTTGGGAAATATCTTAATTCCTAGGGGCCATTTGCCAAGCTAAAAAAAAAAAAAAAAAAACAGGGAAGAGAATTGTCAGTCTCTGCTGAGATGATTATGTTATTTGTCTTGGTGCTTATCTTTATGTCTTTACATATATTTGTCTCTGTTACTCGATTTATAAGTTTCAAGTTTTATCTTTTGATCCTCCAGCTCTAAAATATGAGAGAATCAATGTGTTTATTTTATCTTTTATCACTTCCCCCTTTCTCCTAACATTTATTAGTTAAATCATTACAACTGTGATGGAGGAAAAAACTTTACCCATTAGGTTTTGTCAATTAAACTGACAAAAGACAGATTAATATGAGGGAAAAAAAACACATGTGTATTTATAAAAAGCAAAATGCATACACACAGGAGAACTCCCTGATGAGTAACACAAGGGGGTAGTTAGAATTGGGAGCTTACATACCATCTTAACAAAGGGTAAATTTGGGTAGAAGCAACAAGACAAAGGAAACAGGTTTGGGCTCTAAAGGGTACTAAATTGTGGGAAGGTAAGTATACAAGAAAACCAATGGAAGATTAGGGTTGCTTTATTAAGGTTTTCCTGTGCAGACCCTGTGCCAACTTTCTGTCTCCAGTGATGATGGTTGTTTTAATTCCTTCTGGTTTGGAACAAGGAGAGGGAAGACCTTCACAAAGGGAAATTTATGTCTTGCTTTTAGGCAGATAGGAGAGGGGGAGTGAGCTCTTTCTGTGTTTTCTGCTTCTTAATCGACTTCAGAGTAATCCTTATGCCAAAGTGCTGGTCAGGATTTTAACCTACATTTGTTTTCATTTTAGTCCCACAGAGTTGGCACATGCCACGGATCTTTTTGCCATCATTTTCCTTTGTGGACTAAAGTTTGTCTTTAGTTTCTTCAGAAAGAGTTCATGGGAACTACGTTCTGAGTTATTTTATATTCTAAACTGTTTTCTATTTTCTATGTATTTATATTGACTTGCTATAAAATTCTTAGATATGACTTTATTTTCTTAATGTATTTGTAAACATTGCTCCACTGCTCCTAGAATGAAATGCTGATGTGGAAAAGTTTGAGGCCAGATTGTTTTTCTTATACTATTGACCTGAGATTTTGATTTGAATGCCCACATTTTCTTCATTCATTTTCTAAGTCCAATAACTTGCTGTTGGTTTTTCTGAAGGTAAATCTGTGTGTATTTTTTCCTGCACAAAGTATGGCTCTTCAATCTATACATTCCAGTCTTTTTTTATTTCTGAATAATATCCTTATATCATATCTTGAAATATTTTGTTCTGTTCCTTTATTTGGGTCTCTTCTTTAAAGAATCCAATTAGATGCCTGCTGAGTCTTCTTTGCCTGTCCTCTGTAGCAACCACTTTTACTCTATTCCAGTTGAATTTTTTATCCATTTCTCCTTTGGCTCCTTTTCTCTCATACTGTATTGTTCTTTGTCTTCATATGTGCTATTTCAAATTTACCTTTCATTTCTGTGACAATTCTCTTCTTCCTCTTTTTAAGACTTTCAAGCTTATATATCATTTCCTTTTTTGACTCACAATATTTTCCTCAGCCTTTGGTGCTCTTATTTTAAAGACATGATTGGCTCATTGGGTATTCATTCCTGCTTTGTTAAAGATTAGTTGACCATATAGTTGATGAATCCATTTCTGGGTTTTCTATTCTATTCCATTGGTCTTTGTGTCTGTTTTTGTGCCAGTTCCATACTGTCTAGATGACTACAAGTTTATAATAGAGCTCAAAGTCTGGAATTGTGATGCCACCAGCTTTGCTTTTCTTTCCCAGGATTACTTTAGCTTTTGGGGTTTTTTGTGGTTCCATACAAATTTTAGGATTGTTTGTTCTAGCACTGTGAAGAATGCTGGTGGTGTTTTGATAGGAATTGTATAAAGTGTGTAGATTGCTTTGGGTAGTATAGACATTTTAACATTGTTCTTTCAATCCGTGAGCTTAGAATGTTTTTCTTTTTATCATCTTCAATTTCTTTCCTAAGTATTCTATACTTTTCTGAGTATAGATCTTTTACCTCTTTGGTTAGATTTATTTGTAGGTATCTTATGGGTTTTGGTGCAATTGTGAATGGGACAGATTCATTGATTTCTCTTTCTGCTGCTTCATTTTTGGTGTATAGAAATGCAACAGATTTCTGTACATTGATTTTATATTCTGTGATGTTACTGATTTCATGTATCAGTTCTAGCAATTTTTTGGTGGAGTCCTACATAGAGTATCATGACATCTGTGAAGAGTGAAAGTTTGCCTTTCTTCCTTGCCAATTTGGATTATTTGTATTGCTTTTTTTTTTTTTTCTGATTGCTGAAGCTAGGACTTCCAGTACTATGTTAAATAATAATGGTGAGAGTGGACATCCCTATCTTGTTCCTGACCTTAGAGGAAAAGCTCTCAGTTTTTCCCCATTGAGGATGATATTAGCTATGGGTCTTTGGTAGGTGGCCTTTATGATGTTGAGGTGTGTTCCCTCTATCCCTACTTTATTGGGGTTTTTATTAATGCTTTTTCTGCATCTACTAAGATCATATGGTTCTTATCCTTTCTTTTATTAATGTGGTGTATCATGTTGATTGATTTGCGATTATTGAACCACCCTTGCAGCCCAGGAATAAATCCCACTTGATCATGGTAAATAATTCTTTTAATGTACTCTTGGATTTAATTTGCTAGGATCTTG